ATTTCCGAAATGAGATATTGTAACTACTTACATTGTTCGGACAGCTGTCTTTATTGTCATTGTCACGACGTTTCGGCCGTTTACGCTCCGGTCTTCATCTGGATCTGTCTGTATTTCCAAGATGAAGTATTGTAACTATTTACATTGTTCAGACTGCTGTTTTTATCTTTATTGTCATATTCACGATGTTTTGGTCGTTGCAAGCTCCGGCCTTCATCTGGATTTGTCTGTATTTCCGAGATGAGGTATTGTAAATATTTACCATATTTACATTATTTTTTCTTTTTACATTATTTATTAGACAATAAAGATGATTACAACAGCCCGAACAATGTAAATAGTGTAAACAGTGGAATTTTTTGTGAAAAATTGGTCAGCGTGAAACTTCTTTATAATTGGAACACAAATAAAATAAGGATGGTTTAAATAAAATTTAAAATAAAATTTATAAAACTATTCAATCGCTGAATTCATCGAAAATCGCAATAATTCTGGCAATAATTTCGACAACAAATTTTAATTCAAAGACAAGGGTAATGTATAGTGGCACTAATTTAGGAATTTTACACGGGAGATTTGCATCCAATGTCATACAATGTACAATGTCATTTCCGAACAAAACGACTGGTATTACAATGTCAGATATTTGAAAACAAAAGCGATCAAAATAAAATAGATAGAATAGTGATAGAAAGGTGAATGAGGTCATCTTCGTTATGCCTCTCCAAATAGAGGCCAAGAAGTTAGAAATTTCAATTTGGAAATGAGTGACCTATCTTCAACGCTCAAAATTGTTCCCCAACCTCTCACTTTAGCTTTCTCCCCACACTCCCTCTTTCTGTCTGTCTGTCTGTCTGTCTGTCTCTCTCTCTCTCTGTATATATATATATATATATATATATATATATATATATATATATATATATATGCGTACCTGTATATATTTATGTATGTTTATATATGCGCATGTTTATATATAAATATGCATGTTGACATATATATATATATATATATATATATATATATATATGTCTGAGTGTGTGTGTGTTTGTGTGTGTGCGCGTGTGTGTGGATGAGTGTATATATATATATATATATATATATATATATATATATATATATATATATATAATTGAACATTGAATACAAATTTTCAGGCCAGATTGCGTTTAACACTCTGTCTCTTCTAAGTGTTGACTTCTATGTTCCTTTTATATTTACACACGCTCTATCTCTGATATTGAGCACTTTATCCCATAAATATAAGACACCTTAAAACTATATTTATATGTATATACATTTGCGTGTATATATATATATATTTATACCCATATATATATATATATATATATTTATATATATATATATATATATATATATATATATATATATATATATATATGTGTGTGTGTGTGTGAGTGTGTATGCATGAATATATATATATGTATTTATATAAGTATGTTCAAAAGGAGCACTAGAATATATATATTTATATATCTATGCGTGTGTATATATATATATATATATATATATATATATATATATATGTATATATATATATATATATATATATATATATTTGCAAGTTTATATATATGCATGTGTGCGTGCGTGTGTGTGCGTATATTTATATATAAATGTAAATTTACATATATTTGTGTGTGTGTGTGTGCGTATATATGTGTTTGTATATATATTTATAAATGTTTGTGTGTGTGGGCGCGTGTACATATATATATAAATATATATATGTGTATGTGTGTGTGTATGTGTCTGTATTTATATATATATTTTTTGTGTGTGTGCATGTATACATATTCTTTGCATATTTTATTATATGTGTGTATTTATAAATGCTTGTTTATATCTATATACGTATTTATGAGTGTGCATGCATGGATGTGTGCGTACATAGATATGCACATTTACGTGTATGTGTGTCTATATGTGTGCTGTGTATATATAAAGGTATGCTTTTATATATATATATTTGTAACCTTATGTATATATATGTATATATATATGGGTGTGTGTATATATATATATATATATATATATATATATATATATATATATATATATATATATATATATATGCATATATGTATGAGTGTGTATATATATATATATATATATGTGTGTGTGTGTGTGTGTGTGCGTGTGTGTGTGTGTGTGTGTGTGCGTGTGTGTGTGTGTGTATTACCCTGCTGCATGATAAACTTGGATAATAGTTTGAATATCTTTGATTTTTTTTTCAGACTTTTAAGGCAGACTCTTTCAGTTCTTATTTCGTATGAAGTGCGTTGGGGGAGTTCTTCCTTCAGTCCCCTCTTCAGGAGATCAAATGAATGCTCTGTTGGGTTCAGGTCTGGTTATTAACTTGGTCAGTCTAAACCTTTCCATTTTTCTCCCCTGATGAAATCCTTTGTTGGCATGTTTTAGGTCATTGTCCTGCTGCAGAATAAATTTCCTCCTGAATAGTTTGGATGCATTTCTCTATAAATTGGTAGACAAAATGTTTCTCTAGACTTCTGAACACATTCTGCTGCATCCATCATGATTTACAACATAAATAAATAGGAACGATCCTGTTCCAGATGCAACCATGCAAGCCCAAGGCAAGACATTGCCTTCACCATGATTTACAGATGAGCTTTTATGCTTTGGATCATAAGTAGATTCGTTCTTTCTCCACGCTTTGGCCTTTCCATCCTTTTGGTAGAGATTAATCTTGGCCTCATTACTCCATACCACTTTCTTCCAGAAATTTTGTCGCTTATCTTTGTACTTCCTTGTAAATTCTAATCTGGATTTCCAATTCTTACTGCTGCTGAATGATTGTGGTATGGGCTCTATATTTCTGCTTTTGAAGTATTCTTTGAACAGTGGATTGTGAAACCTTCACCATTGCAATGTGGAGGCTTTTGGTGATGACAATTTTTTTTTTTTTTTTGGAATAACTAATTCTTTACGCGTAAATTTCAAGAATTATTTATTCAAAAAAAAAATTTCGCTTGAAGATGGAACAGAGCTTGGTACTTTAATTCAATTTAATTCAAATAATTATACTGAAGTTTTCGGCTCTTGTTTTGATACATGAGAACTCTTATGTAGCGATGGAATCATATTTTAAATAAATAATTATATTTATTAGTTTTATTTTATTTAAATTTATACTTTTGTATCGAGCACTATTTTTTAAAAATAATAACAAAAATACTAAAGAACTTTGGATTATTTACCTAACGAGTTCTTTCCTATTTTCCACATATTTTCACACACACACACACACACATATATATGTGTGTGTGTATGTATATATGTAAGTGGGTGTATGTGTAAGTGGGTGTATATGTATGTTTATAAATTGTGTGTGTGTGTGTGTGCCTGTAAATATATATTTATATATAGATATAATGCGCGTGTATGCGTGCGTGTTTGTGTGTACGTGTGTATATACATGTATGTTTATATATATATATATATATATATATATATATATATATATATATATATATATATATATATATATATATATATATATATATATATATATATATATATATATATATTATTATTATTATTATTATTAATAGAGATCTTATAAGTATAAGAAACTATACTCGTTCTGAAAAACCTTCAGTGTATTGATCTGCAAATAATCAAACCAATACCAAAGGGAAAAAATGTATAATAAAAGAAAGAACCAAGAACATGTACTTTAGCCGAAAATAATCGTCCAGCATACGAGTTCAAGGCCCAAAGAAAAAAAACCGATGCGAGTATCCAAAATAACTAAATAAAGTGCTCAATACAATAAGTAGAGCAAACCTAGTTAAACCTAGAGAGCCAGACAAACCTACCAAGGTTTCACCAAAGCGGATCGTCAGGGAAAGCTAACTAACTTCTTTAACTAACTATATATATATATATATATATATATATATATATATATATATATATATATATATATATATATATATATATTGTATATTTAGGCAGCAATCATTCCTTTATGCATATTTAACTAAAAAAACGACAGACAAGGTACTACTGTTAAGCTTTTTATTTTATTTTTCTTGTGTTCTGACAAGAGCTTTCTTTTCTGGACAAAGGGTGTGTAAGAACTATCCAAATGTTCTATATTTCCGAGCGCTTTCGGCTATACCTTTAGCCATTATCAAGGATGATTCGATTTTCAGTTTAATTGAGTGTGTGCGTTCTGTGTATGTGTCAGTGTGTGGTAGGGATGTTTTTTTTTTATTTCCGAATACGGTTAGCACATTGTGGCTTTGTTCGTAATTAATATTGTTAAGAGTTGGCTTTTTCTTTTTTATTATTAAATCTTCCATTATTTTTAGTCTTTTTTTGCAGGTGGATGCAGTTAATATATTTGTGTTTTCTACTAGTATGTTCCTAATGGAATCTGGTAAATTTGTGTGTGTTTAAATGGTTTCTAATGAAGCTGTGATCAGATAGGTGTAACGTAAGACGTCTGGATAAGCATGTGTTTGTGCTGATGTATATATATATATATATATATATATATGTGTGTGTGTGTGTGTGTGTGTGTGTGTGTGTGTGTGTGTGTGTGTGTGTGTGTGTGTGTGTGTGAAAAGTGTATATAAATATAAATAAATATATATATGTATAATTATTTATATATTATATACGCGGTACTTATTAAGCGCTCAATATCAGAGATAGAGCTAACATATTTGGTTGGATAGATGTGAGTTTGACAAACTCACATCTATCCAACTAAATATATATATATATATATATATATATATATATATATATATATATATATATATATATATATATGTCTGTAAACACTACATAGATTGCTATATCTAAAGGGTGGGTCCATTTTGGAGGCACCCTGTAGTAGCCCCGTGTTTGTGAAGGTCGTTTGTCGGATCAAAACAGTCACAGAAATGTTTAGGGTACACAATGCGACGAGGACGTTTGCAGAATTTAACACCCACACAGCATACTGAAAGCAAGAATGGCTGCCTGTGTGAATAGATGACAGAAAAAAGAAATGACAGGAATTTGGAGAGAAATGCGATCACCCGCGCACTAAAGAGAATTAGCACATAAAAAAATGTTTGTTTTAGTCGTCATTTTGAATATTCATAAACGTGCATTTCATTTCGTATTTAATTTAAGCAGTTAATCTTCTTTGTAAGTCAATAAACATTAATATTTCTTAAATTTAATTATTAATCTTGAACGAATGTCAATAAACACGGAATTTATTGTCATTTAAAGAGTTCGTTTTGGGATACTCCTTGTACATATGCTATTTGAAAGAAACTGAAATAGTCATCTGCGTCGCAAAGGTAGTTTCTCTTTCTTTCTGACAACAACCCTTGGACAATAGAAAAATAATATAAGCCGAAATGTGCAGCCCATAGAAGTCGCTTTTATGACTCCTGTATTTAAACTGAACATATTTTCTAGTAAATGTATTATTTATAGGATCAAGATTCTATAACATTCTTAAAAACCCCAAATCACGGGCTCCAAATTTAATAATACAACAACGCATTCTGATTGGCTGAAAAATATCAATTATATGTCCGAATGTACCGACCCTACTTTTCACCCGAGCAAAAATACATTTGCGCCAAAAATTCTAGAGCCTACCATGTGATGCAAATTGTGTATATAAACGAGACAAAATCCAGAAACGGACAGTGAGTTGGGGAAATTCAATCCGGAGCTATGCCGCACGTATCACTATTCCTCATTTTAGACGATACGTCAAAATTCTTTTAACATTAAAACAGTCTGCATCGCTCTTTCAACACAAAAGACAACAAATATCAAAGAAAGACAACTCAGTTAAAACACGAAGTAAATCCGTTTCATTTACACACAATTTTCATAAACCTCAATCTGTTTTATTTCAAAATAGACCACATTATCTTGTATTATACTATCACATGTTCACGCACGTTATTCCACAACTCAAGATCTATATAATCAGAACATTACTAAAACTCAAGATCAAACATACAAATACATTTGAATGTTTTGAACAACTTTTTCAACAAAAGTCTGTACCTTTTGTTATATAAAAATGTCTTCAGGTGGTTGTAATGTTGAAGTGAACCCTTTATTTCGCTTGCTGAGGTAGACTGTTATAGTTCCACGTGCCATGTCTAATGGATGTCAGTTATGAGTTATTTACTTTTAATTCACCTCTCCAAGTTCTCCACTACCTTAACCAGGTATTGAACTCACAACTCTTTGGGTCCTGTCACTGGATCTAACCAACGCCTTTACCCACTGTCATGTATCCGTAAGGACATCTGCATATGAATTTCTGGGACTTATAAACCTAATGTCTTCAGCAACCATTTTTACCAGTGCTCATATTGCAATTTTCGTTGTTATTATTGCTTTTCTCTGGTACTCCTTATAACTGGTTCCCATATTGTGTTCATTTCTATGCTTGGTCGGCTCAGGAGATTTTTGTGGCCTAGCATATGTGTTGATTCCTTTACTCTTGTCTTTAATAGTATTGTTCTCTTGTTGTTCATTATTTTGTTACATTTGCGATAATATAAATTCGTAGGTGATTACTGATGTCTACGGATAAACACGCAAGACCCCCTCTACATAATCTAAGTATCCGACGAAAAGACATGAAAGTAAGAATGAAGAGGATCATAACTAAATCACTTAAGTCGTTTCAAAAGTGAAATTGAAATGATACTCAGAATTGTGTTCAAGCTTAAAACATATTCACAAGTGAATAATGGACATTTCTTTGTAAAGAAATATTTCTATAAGAATATGAAAATTGGCCGAAGATCAATTTGTAAGTTCCTTGACAAATGTGTAATATATATGTAAATATGTCGCAAACTTCCTTGAAGCCTTCTTGACAAACACTGGAAAGAATTTGATAACTTAGGCTCAATACGTAGAGTTTAAAACCCCTGAACGACCGGTACAGCTCAATTATGAAGCTGTCTGCTGTTCAACTGATTTCTTCAAATCGATTGGTTATTAGGAAAACAGACATCATAAACTACGACAAAGAAATGATTGCGGACGATCGATCTGAAAAATAATTCGTTATCAGGGCAACTATAGGGAAAGTAAAAATTGAAAAAGTTTTACGTTTCTCAAGAAATTGAGTTGCGTTTGTATTTCAGATAAACTTTTTCGTATGAACAAAAATGTGAGAAATGAACACAAAACAAGACAGACAGATATGGACAGACTGAAATAGATAGATAGATAGATAGATAGATAGATAGATAGATAGATAGATAGATAGATAGATTAAACAAACTGAGACAGGTAGATAGGTATGAACAGACTGAGACAGACACATAGATAGATAGATAGATAGATAGATAGATAGATAGATAGATAGATAGATAGATAGATAGTGTCGTAACTTTGGGAAGGTTACTGAATAGAATAATCATACGAAGGTTGGTAATGAACGATAATACTTAGGACACGAACGACACATATAAGATTCGCCAGCGGCGCGTAGAATTAGTAGTCAACTGCTAGAAGTGAGTCAAGTGAATTCCACAATTAATGCAGACCAACATACAATATTTACTACTATATTTATGCGAATGAGGACATACTCATTATCTCCCATAGGCATGCTACAACAGATAGATAGATAGATAGATAGATAGATAGATAGATAGATAGATAGATAGATAGATTAAAATCTCAAGAGGGAAGAATACTGAATCTATCGGAGACAGGAATGCAGATCACTTGATCTGATGATCGCTTGATTTGAGGCATGAAACTGATAGTCACCAGCGTTGATTCTTATTTCCACACGATATATATATATATATATATATATATATATATATATATATATATATATATATATATATGATGTATAGTTTGTGCTCATTAACAAATATTTCGCGTGGCAACGGTATTTAAGTGGCAATAGCTTATTTCTAATGGCTATTTTGTAATTGTGCAGACATTAGCTGATAAAGTTAAATTAGCGTGAGTTTAGATAATTGCCACACTGATACCAAATAAATCTCATAATTAATAAATAATAGGGTACACGCACAATATCACTTAACGTACTCAAAAGCATAAAGCAAATATTAATTAACAAGAATGCCCTAAAACGGAAAGAAAAAAAGAAACAAATACATATACACACGTCCCATTTATTGAAGACAATTCACAAGGCACCCGCTATTAAGCTTTTTTTTATTATATTTTTCATGCCTTCGTACAGGAGATTTCTATTTGGTATATGGAATGCACAGAGGCTGTCCAAATGACCTGTCGAACTGAGCGCTTTTTGACTCATCTGTTGCCAAGGATGGTTTGTTTTTGTTTGTCAGTTCAGAAAACTAATTATGATGCCTGTTAATCAATTCGATTGGTTTATCTTTCCCATGAAGAGCGGTTTTTCTTCAGATGATAATCCCTTAAAATACTGCACGTATTTATTTACTAAATTCTCACATAGATAGATACAGGGATGAACAATATGTAGATAGATAGATAGATAGATAGATAGATAGATATAAACAAACTGAGACAGATAGATATGAACAGACTGAGATAGATAGATAGATAGATAGATAGATAGATAGATAGATAGATAGATAGATAGATAGAAATCAACGCTCTCGATATCTGCAAACTTGGCACTTTTCCCCTATAATTATAACAAATTTTAAACACAACAGATACGAATATAGACACCCAAATACACACACATGCGCGTTTATATATATATATATATATATATATATACAGTACGGGGAACAAATATTTTTAGGCATACAAATTTTTAATTTATTGTATTTCCAACTAATGCATAACTAGTATCCATTTTAATGGGTGAAAAAAGTATTCGTACAATGTAAATATTCACTTTTTTTTTTACATGCAACGTGGTAAGGAACGCGCCATCCTCTGCCTTCTTCAGTCGCCAACCAGTGGAGTTAACACAGAATTTGCAGAATATTGACACGTAGAGATATAGTGAAAATACTTTCAAGACCCTTCAATACCTTAACTATTTCATACACGCACACACACATACATACATACATACATATATATATATATATATATATATATATATATATATATATATATATATATATTGAGAGAGAGAGAGAGAGAGAGGAGAGGGTGAAATGGGTATCACATTTATACATATACATACAGAAAAAGGTAAGGGTTCATTTTATCTGATTCAGTTAACGGAAGTGAATTTTGATTTCGTTTTGTTTATGTTTTGTTTTGTGTGCTTTCCTGCTGTTCATTTTTTTTATTTTTTCGTCATTTTTATTTTATTCTTTCGTTATTTTTATTTTATTCTACTCGACATGAAATTAACGTTCAACTGCAGACTATGACGAATTTCTCGCATGAAAGGCACGCATCTCAACTTGTCGGAAAAAAAGTCTTTTCCTCTCTTTTCTCTTCAATATTTTAAAAGCATTCTTTTTTTTTTTCCAAAAGAGAAGAGAATATTCAGTTGCAACAACTGAAAACAACGAACAATAGCTAGCTAATTCGTTAAGAAATAAAGATGGTTATTTCTTTGCAAAGCTTCGAAGCCTGTTAAATAAATATGCTCAAATGAATGTCTTTGTCACCTGATTTCTTTCGCCATATTTAATTTATACAACATATTCTTGGCAGTAATTCTTCCATCTGATGCGGCCCTTTTTGACACAAAAACAAAACTGATCATAAAAACTTGCAACATGCTGGAATATATGCGGTATTTGGGAGACGTTACTGTTAGTTCACTCAATACAAGGCTGAGGGCCCCCTAAGGTAGAGCGTTACATTTTGAGATTGTTTTAAGGGAGGAAGTGAGAAAAGCATATTATGGGGAGGTGCAGGATAGTTATCGATTGACACTGGACTTAAAGAGGCCAAGATTATAGTTGTCAGGAAAGCATTCCCTCGGGAGTCAGTTCCAAAAAGTTCTAGGCAAGAAGCTCCTTACTTGTAACATTAACAAGTATATACAAACCTTAGCAAGACAGATTTGCAGAAGGAAACATCTTGTGATCTATCTTTTATTGAATCATTTCACCCCAAGCAAAGTAATAAAAACACTAAGAACTAAAAGGTTACTGAGTACGTCGCATTTTCCGTCCTCTGTTAAACACTTTACAGATACTAGAAATTTTGAACTTGCTTTATTCGGACGTCTCCAATTTGTAATTTACGTGCAGGGCTCTTCTTTTTTGCTGACAACCATACACTCTGCCTTCTTACAATTGATGTTTTGTATTTTCTTCTCACTTTTCCTTTAATATTAGGTTGGTGCAAAAATAATGACGTAATAATGTCGTTTTTTGACGTATTTTTAACGTCAAAAAACGACATTATTACGTCATTATTTTTGCACCAACCTAATACCTTATGTTGGCGTTGCTGCATTTTCCTTACTGTGTCTTCTATCAACACGGCACCATCTGCGTATTCAATGTTATTATGGTTGTGGCCGTTCAGTCAGTTATGTGCCATGCGTAATTCACGTTTAAGCGATCATGCATCTTTTGATACATGACTGACGAGGCAGATTTTTCCTACGGTAGTTTACCATTTTTTTCTGCGGTAGTCCAGTTGCCATCCAAGGCTGTCCGGCTATTTACCAATAGCTGGGGGAGAAGAAGAGGATTCATACCTTTTCTAACGGTATTAGCACGTAAGCGAATGTAATGGATTCGACTGGAATTCGAACTCGGTTCTCCGATTCCTCAATCCGAACTGCTATCCATTACTCCTGTTGACTATGTTTGCCGTAGTCTTTGAATATAGAATCCAGTGCAGTACGTAATGTGTTCAATGGAACAAGGCCAATATCACTAGTTGCATCTTTTCAGTAATTCTTCAGGTCTTCGATATCAGAGGTTGGCAGTGAATATTCGGAGAAAGTAGCAGCTGTTCAGTAATTCTTCAGAAAGTCTTCGATATCAGAGGATTCAGAGGTTGGCAGTGAAGATTCGGAGAAAGTAGCAGCTGTTCAGTAATTCTTCAGGTCTTCGATATATTCGGAGAAAGTAGCAGGTTGGCAGGTGATATAGGTTTGGAGAAAGTAGCAGCTGTTCAGTAATTCTTCAGGTCTTCGATATCAGAGGTTGGCAGTGAATATTCGGAGAAAGTAGCAGCTGTTCAGTAATTCTTCAGGTCTTCGATATCAGAGGTTGGCAGTGAATATTCGAGAAAGTAGCAGCTGTTCAGTAATTCTTCAGGTCTTCGATATCAGAGGTTGGCAGTGAAGATTCGGAGAAAGTAGCAGCTGTTCAGTAATTCTTCAGGTCTTCGATATTAGAGGTTGGCAGAATATTTGGAGAAAGTAGCAAGTAATTCTTCAGGTCTTCGATAAAGGTTGGCAGTGAATACAGAAAGTAGCAGCTGTCAGTAATTCTTCAGGTCTTCGATATCAGAGGTTGGCAGTGAATATTCGGAGAAAGTAGCAGCTGTTCAGTAATTCTTCAGATCTTCGATATCAGATGTTGGCAGTGAAGATTCGGAGAAAGTAGCAGCTGTTCAGTAATTCTTCAGGTCTTCGATATCAGAGGTTGGCAGTGAAATATTCGGAGAAAGTAGGATGTTCAGTAATTCTTTTGGTCTTCGATATCAGAGGTTGGCAGTGATATTCGGAGAAAGTAGGCTGTTCAGTAATTCTTCAGGTCTTCGATATCAGAGGTTGGCAGTGAATATTCGGAGAAAGTAGCAGCTGTTCAGTAATTCTTCAGGTCTTCGATATCAGAGGTTGGCAGTGAATATTCGAGAAAGTAGCAGCTGTTCAGTAATTCTTCAGGTCTTCGATATCAGAGGTTGGCAGTGAATATTCGGAGAAAGTAGCAGCTGTTCAGTAATTCTTCAGGTCTTCGATATCAGAGGTTGGCAGTGAATATTCGAGAAAGTAGCAGCTGTTCAGTAATTCTTCAGGTCTTCGATATCAGAGGTTGGCAGTGAAGATTCGGAGAAAGTAGCAGCTGTTCAGTAATTCTTCAGGTCTTCGATATCAGAGGTTGGCAGTGAATATTCGAGAAAGTAGCAGCTGTTCAGTAATTCTTCAGGTCTTCGATATCAGAGGTTGGCAGTGAAGATTCGGAGAAAGTAGCAGCTGTTCAGTAATTCTTCAGGTCTTCGATATGGGAGAAAGAGGTTGGCAGTGAATATTCGGAGAAAGTAGCAGCTGTTCAGTAATTCTTCAGGTCTTCGATATCAGAGGTTGGCAGTGAATATTCGGAGAAAGTAGCAGCTGTTCAGTAATTCTTCAGGTCTTCGATATCAGAGGTTGTAGAAGCTGTTGAATATTCGGAGAAAGTAGCAGCTGTTCAGTAATTCTTCAGGTCTTCGATATCAGAGGTTGGCAGTGAATATTCGGAGAACAAGAAAGTAGCAGCTGTTCAGTAATTCTTCAGGTCTTCGATATTAGAGGTTGGCAGTGAATATTCGGAGAAAGTAATTCTTAGGAAGCTGTTCAGTAATTCTTCAGGTCTTCGATATCAGAGGTTGGCAGTGAATATTCGGAGAAAGTAGCATGTTCAGTAATTCTTCAGGTCTTCGATATCAGAGGTTGGCAGTGAAGATTCGGGAGAAAGTAGCAGCTGTTCAGTAATTCTTTTTCAGGTCTTCGATATCAGAGGTTGGCAGTGATATATTCAGAGAAAGTAGCAGCTGTTCAGTAATTCTTCAGGTCTTCGATATCAGAGGTTGGCAGTGAAGATTTGGAGAAAGTAGCAGCTGTTCAGTAATTCTTCAGGTCTTCGATATCAGAGGTTGGCAGTGAATATTGGAGAAAGTATTCTTCAGCTGTTCAGTAATTCTTCAGGTCTTCGATATCAGAGGTTGGCAGTGAATATTCAGAGAAAGTAGCAGCTGTTCAGTAATTCTTCAGGTCTTCGATATCAGAGGTTGGCAGTGAATATTCAGAGAAAGTAGCAGCTGTTCAGTAATTCTTTCAGGTCTTCGATATCAGAGGTTGGCAGTGAATATTCAGAGAAAGTAGCAGCTGTTCAGTAATTCTTCAGGTCTTCGATATCAGAGAGGAATATTTAGCAGGTTCAGTGATTCTTTTGGTCTGATTCAGAGAGTGAAGTAGCAGCTGTTCAGATTCGATATCAGAGGTTGGCAGTGAATATTCAGAGAAAGTAGCAGCTGTTCAGTAATTCTTCAGGTCTTCGATATCAGAGGTTGGCAGTGAATAGATTCAGGAGAAAGTAGCAGCTGTTCAGTAATTCTTCAGGTCTTAGATATCAGAGGTTGGCAGTGAATATTCAGGAGAAAGTAGCAGCTGTTCAGTAATTATTCAGGTCTTCGATATCAGAGGTTGGCTGTGAAGATTGAATATCTGGTAATTCTTTTCAGATATCAAAGTGAATATTCAGAGAAAGTAGCTGTTCAGTAATTTTTGGTCTTCGATATCAGAGGTTGGCAGTGAATATTCAGAGAAAGTAGCAGCTGTTCAGTAATTCTTTTCAGGTCTTCGATATCAGAGGTTGGCAGTGAATATTCAGAGAAAGTAGCAGCTGTTCAGTAATTCTTCAGGTCTTCGATATCAGAGGTTGGCAGTGAAGATTCGGAGAAAGTAGCAGCTGTCCAGTAATTCTTTTGGTCTTCGATATCAGAGGTTGGCAGTGAATATTCGAGAAAGTAGCTGTTCAGTAATTCTTCAGGGTCTTCGATATCAGAGGTTGGCAGTGAAGATTCGGAGAAAGTAGCAGCTGTTCAGTAATTCTTCAGGTCTTCGATATCAGAGGTTGGGATTCAGAGAAAGTAGCAGCTGTTCAGTAATTCTTTGGTCTTTCAGAGGTTGGCTGTGGAGAAAGTAGCAGCTGTTCAGTAATTCTTCAGGTCTTCGATATCAGAGGTTGGCAGTGAATATTTGGAGAAAGTAGCAGCTGTTCAGTAATTCTTTTCAGGTCTTCGATATCAGAGGTTGGCAGTGAATATTCGAGAGAAAGTAGCAGCTGTTCAGTAATTCTTCAGGTCTTCTTCAGATATCAGAAGGTTGGCTGTTGAATATTCGATATCAGAGGAAAAGTAGCAGCTGTTCAGTAATTCTTCAGGTCTTCGATATCAGAGGTTGGCAGTGAATATTCAGAGAAAGTAGCAGCTGTTCAGTAATTCTTTTGGTCTTCGATATCAGAGGTTGGCAGTGAATATTTGGAGAAAGTAGCAGCTGTTCAGTAATTCTTCAGGTCTTCGATATCAGAGGTTGGCAGTGAATATTCGGAGAAAGTAGCAGCTGTTTAGTAATTCTTTTGGTCTTCGATATCAGAGGTTGGCAGTGAATATTCAGAGAAAGTAGCAGCTGTCCAGTAATTCTTCAGGTCTTCGATATCAGAGGTTGGCAGTGAAGATTCGAAGAAAGTAGCAGCTGTTCAGTAATTCTTT